GCGGACAGCCCAGACACGTCTGGGCTGTCCGTTGCCCGTTTGCTCCGCCACTTCCTCTCTCTGGTCTGCTGGAGACCAGGGAGACGGGCCCCGTTCGTAACTGCGGATCCGACATAAGTCGGATCCGCATAACTCGGGGACTGCCTGTATTTTGAAATAACTTAGTCTGCGTCTACACAGCAGGCAGTTATTTTGAAATAATGTTGAAATACTGTCAAGCTGGATGACTTCTTACTCCATTTCTTATATGCCTCATTGTACGAGAAGTAAGAAGAGTGCTCTATTTCAAAATAAATGCCATGTAGAACTCCCGATTTCAAAAAAAGCTATTTTGACTTAAGCTACGTAATTGGCATAGCTCAGTTTGCATATTTTATTTCGAGTTAAGCCCTGCTGCGTAGATATTCCTTAAGATTCTGAGTCTGCCAACACTTACACAAATGCATGAAGTATGTAAATGTTTGCAGAAATATGACCTAAATGCTATCTCATCCAACATTTAAAGAAAAAAAAATCTGACAACTTTGTTGCTAATCTGTTTCATTTATCATGAATATTGGGTAGTATTTTTGTTTATGGTAGGGTGTAACATTTTCAAACAGAAGTGTTTTTTCCGAAACTGATGGTGTCCCTTTTACAGTCCCCAGTTACAGGATAAGACCGACTTTGTGTGTGTTTCTGAATGTTATGTTCAATATCTTTTAAAAAATTGAACATTTCAATATTTCAGTAGAAACTAGAGATCTTGAGTCTAAGCCTATGTGTAGCTTTAAGCAGATGAGTAGTCTTACTAAAGTTAAACTTAAGTTCTTTTCTTAGTAGGGGCCAGAATGAGTGTGCATTTTGGTGGGGAACCGGGTTAGGCTTTAATAGCCAAGTTCTTCTCTCAGTTTGTTGATGTAAATTTGGGGGATTTTTTGGAGAGACTCCAAATTTAGACTTGTGTGATTGAGAGCAAAATTTGGCCCAAAACATTTACTGTGTTTTTAATTCTCTCTCAAAATTATTTTTATTGTATTATATTTGCACAATACTGTAAATAGAGATTTTAACTGGTAAGCATGAGATTTATTGGTATGCTTACCAGTTAGCTGGCCCTTGCCAACTAATTCTGGCAGCAGCTAGCCACATTGGGCTAGAGCACCCTTGGCCAAGGTGGGGCCTGGCAATGGGACACAATGGCCAGGGCGGGGTTGGCCGGCAGGGCAGACTGCAGGACCTAGGTTATGTTACCAGTTGTAAATAGGCAGTAGAAGTTTTAATCTAAAGGAGAAAAACACTGAATAATTAAAAAAGCTCTTTACAATGCAACAGATGGCTGTAGAATATTGATGCAGAATAAATGTATCTAATTTTTTTTAAATGACAATAGCGGAATCTATTCTAACACTACACAGAAAAAAATCCTTGTAACTTCTGAAATGTCCTTTTCTAGCTGATGAAAGAATACACACATACAGGAAACAGAAAAAATTCAGTTGAGAAATTACATCTTGTATGTTTCTTTGCCTGCTTGAAATAAAATATATAAATGTTTAATTTGTTTTCAACAGCATGCCCTCCAAAAAATGGTAGTGTTGTGATTATTGGCTTAGTCATTATTGCTTTTGTGGAAGTTGCTGGCCTGATTTTGGGGATTGTCGGTAAGTGGCACCTAATATTTTGTATTACGTTCTCACTGGTGTTTTAAACTGAATGTTCAAGAAAAATATTACCTGAATTCATTTTTTGGAAGTGAAAATAATTGTATTTAAAAAAGCATGTGATCTGATAGGTAGTTTAAAAGCATATATAGGGCCCTTAACTCCAAATACAGTTTCTTCTTCTTCGAGCGATTGCTCATGTGCATTCCAATTAGGTGTGCGTGCGCAACGTTCATGCGTTGTCGGACGTTTTTCCCTCAGCAGTACCCTTAGGGCCAGCGGAGAGACCCCTGGAGTAGCGCCAGTATATTGGCCCATATATACCCCTGCTGGCCCCCTCACCCACTCAGTTCCTTCTTACCGCCCTGACGTTGGAAAAACCCTCAGCTCATCTAGCAAATAGTTGTCTTCGGTATTGTTCTCTGTTTGCTCGACTTAAGACACTTTCACATTTCCGTTGCCCCCCATCACCTCAGATTCCTCAGATTTACTATGGTCTCAAACCACTACCAATTCACAGCCCTTCCATTTGGTATCTCCACGGCCCCTTGGGTTTTTCGCTGCACTCAGCAAAAGGGGCATTCAGGTGTTCCCCTGTCTAGCCGACTGGCTCCTGAAAAGGGGCTCGCAGTTCTGATTCTTTGACCTAGGTCTTTTGTTAAACCTGGACAAGTCTTCCCTAACGCCCAATCCGATAATAGAGTTTGTGGGAGCCACCTTGGACTCTACCTCAGCGAGAGCCTCCCTGTCAAGCTCCCAGTTCCTCGTGATACAGGCAGCAGTCAGGGAGCTCCAGAACTTTCCAGTGACCACCACCCGAACTTGCATGCGCCTCCTGGGCCTCATAGCCATATGCACTTATGTAGTGCAATACGCCAGACTGCGCATGCGCTCACTACATTTGTGGCTATTGTGAGCCCACAACCCAGTTGTCCATTCATGGGATAGGGTGGTGACAGTCCTCCTGTCCTTCTCGCACTGAACTGGTGGACCAACCTGGCAGAAGTCTCCGTGGGGGTACCTTTTTCCAGGTTGATACCGCCCACCCAAATCGTCACAGACGCGTCGGACACCAGCTGGGGAGCCCACCTGGGAGTCACTCACACTCACACTCACTCACACTCACACTCACACTCACACACACAGTATGTGGTCTCTGGACAAGATCTCCCTGCATATCAACTTCAGGGAGCTCCGAGCAGTCCAACTGGCTTGTGTAGTTTTCCTTCACCACCTAAGGGGCAAGTCTGTCCTCATCCTATCGGACAGTACCACTGTGGTGGTGTATATAAACAAGAAGGGCGGGGCTCATTCCCCTCGCATGCGCTTGGAGAGGCGATTCACCTGTGGGAACTCTGCATCGGGGCCAATATACACCTGACAGCCTCATACCTCCCGGGCTTCCAGAACGTCCTGGCGGATGAACTGAGCAGGTCCTTCACAGGACACGAATGGTCTTTGAGGTGGGATGTAGCCCAATCTGTCTTCCATGCATGGGGGTCTCCCCATGTGGACTGCTTCGCTACAGGGCAGAACAGGAAGTGCCACCGATTTTTGCTCCCTCATGGGACAGGGCTCACTGGGAGATACTCTCCTTCTCCCCTGGCCGCAGGGCCTACTATATGCCTTCCCACTAATCCACAAGGTATTATTGAGGGTGCGGGAGTTCAGTGCATCCCTGATTTTAATCGCTCCAGCATGGCTCAAGCAGCACTGGGCCTCAATCCTCCTTATCTGTCATGCGAGAGACCCATGACCCTTCCACTGCTTCCAGACTTGATTACTCAAGACTCGGGCAGGCTCCGCCACCCGGACCTGCACTCGACAGCGTGGAAGTTCCATGGTTAATGGCTGAGGAGCTTCATTGCTTGGAACGGGTCCAGGGAGCAGGAAGCCCTCCAGTAGGACCACATACCTGGCTAAGTGGAAACGGTTCTGTATCTGGGCTGCCCAGAACGGGGGTATACTCAAGGCGAACTGCGATCCCCTTGATCCTGGATTACCTGTTAGACCTCAGGCTCCAGGACCTCTCTTCCTCCATCAAGGTTCACTTGGTGGCCATTTTGGCCTTCCACCCAGGGGAAGTGGGGAAAACCCTGTTTGCCATCCCAGTGGTCAACAGGTTTCTGAAAGGGTTGGAGAGGCTCTACCCACAGGTCCGCCAGCCTGTCCCCAAGTGGGACCTAAACCTGGTCCTTTCCAAACTGATGGGACCCCCATTCGAACTGTTAGTGACGTGTTCCCTTTTATACCTGTCATATAAGGTGTGTCTCATGGTGGTCCTCACATCTGCCAGGCAGGTATCCAAACTCAGGGCACTCACCTCGGATCTCCTCTACACGGTCTTTTTTTTAAAGACGAGGTTAGGCTCCACCCCAACCTGGCCTTTCTGCCTAAGGTGGTGTCTTCCTTTCACACCTCGCAGGACATTTTCCTCCCGTTTTTTTTTTTTTTTTACCCGAAGCTGCATGTGTCTGGGAAAGAACAGGCTTTACACACTTTAGATGTGCTCAGGGCATTAGCTTTTTACTTAGAAAGGACAAAGCCATTCAGGAAGTCACTGCAACTCTTTGTAGCCACTGCCGAATGGCCAAGGGGCTAACCCGTGTTCTCGCAGCAGATCTTGTCTTGGATAACGGTTTGTATCCAGGAGTGCTATGTCCGAGCAGGAGTACTGGTCCTGCTCACTAGAGCGCTCTCCACGAGTGCTGTGGAAGCCTCCACCGCTTTCATGGCACAGGCTCCCATCCTCGATATTTGCAGAGCCGCAACATGGTCCTCTGTCCATACCTTCGCCAATCACTATGCGCTAATGCATCAAGCCAGGGAGAACGCTGCCCTGGGCAGGATGGTCCTCCACTCCTCTATAGTTTCAACATCCAGCCCTTCTCCGTAGGTTCTGCTTTGGAGTCACCTAATTGGAATGCACATAAGCAATCACTCGAAGAAGAAAGAATGGTTACTTCCCTCGTAACTGTGATTTTTCGAGATGTGTCGCTCATGTCCATTCCAAATCCCCGCCCACCGCCCTTTCTCTGGTGTATTCTGGTAAGAAGGAACTGAGTGGATGAGGGGGCCAGCAGGGGTATATATGGGCCAATATACTGGTACCACTCCAGGGGACTCCTTGCTGGGGGAAAAACTTCTGACGATGTGTGCATGCTGCGCGCGCACACCTAATTGGAATGCACATGAGCACCACATCTCGAAGAGTCACAGTTACAAGGTTAAGTAACCATTCTTTCCTTTTCGCCACTGATCTGAAATGCATTCCCCTCCCCCCGTGAACCTTCTTCCTAAAAAAACTCTTTTTTCTGAGGAGCAGGGAGAATGTCTGGTAGATATTTTGTGAATGGAATTCCTGTAGTGAACAATGTGGTCCACTTACGCTTTTCCGAAGGAAAACTTCCAGGAAGGCCTCTGGCCATTAATATAACTCTAGAATTGGTGTTATGAACATAGCCTGATTTGTATTTCTCATATTGCATGTACTGGTCTCATCATCCAATACTGTCAACTAATAAAGTAATCAGTCATATAATCTAATCCTGTGCTTTTGGAGTATATGGTATATACTTGTAGAAAAACAAACTTTTTTAGGAAGTAGATCCAGGAGAGGATCAAAAAGTGAGTAGGTAAAATGACCAAGACAGGAAGGACACTTATATGCAGAAGGAGAATTGGGAGGGATTACGGTAGTTTGGGAGAGAGCTTTTTTCTTTGTGTATGAGAGTCAGGTCCAGAAGGAACCTGTACCTCTACCTGAATGATGGAATTTGCGGGATCTCCCAGGACGCTGCCTCTCGCTGACTCTGTGCCAGCCCTGCTGCTTGGCTCTGGCTTGCTGCTGCTACCTCACTGGGCTGTCCGGGGACAGAGCTCCCCAACTGTCATGGCCCCGCTTCTGTCCCACCCGCTTCTGTCCCACCCTGCTTCTCGAGGTTGGGGCTACACAGCTGCCCTACTGTGCCGTGCCAGGTTAGGGCTCCACGGCTGCCCGCTGTGCCGCGCCAGGGCGGTGCTGTACAGAACAAGGCTCATCCATCTCAGTGGTGGGTCTGCCTGCTGCTGGACTCCCAACCACCTCGCACTCCCGGGTGCCGGGGTCTCTAGTCCAGCAACATCCATGATTCTGCCAGACCACAGATGTTGCTGGATTTAGGAGGTTGAACCTGTAGTTATGGGACAAATTCTGCATTTGGATATTTGCAGAGTGGAAGTTGTGGAGCTGATCTATAATATGTTCTGAATTTTGTATGAAACTTGGTTATTAGGATAGATACTTATGATTGTATGTGATGATTGAAATGTTTATTGTATTCATACAGTGATTTCTTTTAATCGAAAGGCTGTTAGGAAACTAGCAGGAAGGCAGAACAATGACTACTTAAATCATTTCCCCATAAACAAAGTGAAAGTCATGTGATGTTGCCTGAGCTCTGAACTAGGAAGATGCTCTCCATCCAAAGTTACAAGACTTGTTTTGCTAAGGCTTGGAGCTAGAACAGTTCGAAAGGACAATAAACAGTTTAAAATTATTCTCTAGAGAGAGGGAGGCAGTTTCTATGTAGCTGTTTGCTGAGAGAAGACTGGCAGAGACAGACATTTTGCAGAATGGTCTGAAGAAGCAAACATGACCTGCCCATTACTATAAGGTGGTGCGATTAGGGTAAAATAAACACACACAGCCATTTTGTTGTGTAAAAACTCTCTCATATTCTACTCTGCTCTTGCTAAGATTAAACAATGATTTAATCTGGTCACCTGTATTAACTGCTGGTTAAAAGCTCTCAAAATGAAGACTTGCAGATGCTGATCCCCTTGGGACTGCTGAGTTGTTATGGTTAATATTCGCGTACTGTACCCTGGTCCTGGCCCAACCATAGGTGAATCAGAATTCTACCCCAGGAGATGTAAAGGCATGAAGCTTGACACCTGAGACCATGAACTGAGAGAGAGGCCGGAAGAGGCAACAGAGTAACTATAACACAGCTTCTGTTGATTTTGATGGGCATTGCCTGTGCATCTCTCGGGGACAGAGTTTGGCTTTGGTGCAATATGCTAATAATTTAAAATAGTTTCGCCTTTGTGGTTTTATATCACAGGTTATGTTGGTACAGTTTTAATAGATACAATTATAGGAGACAGGAAGTAGATTTTATTTTGGTGAAATCCCATTGTAAGATCAGTGTTTGTGATGCATTTTCATGTGGTGAGCTAAGCAAACAATAGTTCAGAGTCCAGCCAGCACAAGACTGCTGGGCTACGTCTACACTGGCCCCTTTTCCGAAAGGGGCATGCTAATTTCACAGGTCGTAATAGGGAAATCCGCGGGGGATTTAAATATCCCCCACGGCATTTAAATAAAAATGTCCGCCGCTTTTTTCCGGCTTGTAGAAAAGCCGGAAAAGAACGTCTACACTGGCCCCGATCCTCCGGAAAAAGCGCCCTTTTCCGGAGCGCCCTTTTCCGGAGGCTCTTATTCCTACTTCAAAGTAGGAATAAGAGCCTCTGGAAAGGGGGGCTTTTTCCGGAGGATCGGGGCCAGTGTAGATGTTCTTTTCCGGCTTTTCTACAAGCCGGAAAAAAGCGGCGGACATTTTTATTTAAATGCCGCGGGGGATATTTAAATCCCCCGCGGATTTCCCTATTACGACCTGTGAAATTAGCATGCCCCTTTCGGAAAAGGGGCCAGTGTAGACTTAGTCCTGTAGTAGTAATAATAATGCTCTTGTAGATAGCTCTCAGTGCATTAGTTGAATAAATACGTGGAGCACATGCACTAGCAACATTTAATTCCTCTACAGAAGTGTGATGCAGACTCCTAAAATTTATAGATCACACAAAGTAGCGAGATAACTAACCAAGGATTTTATTTTACTATTGTTTCTTTCCTCCAGCTTTTGACTCTTCTGTTAAACGTTGAATTCTTTTATATGACTAACACCATCCATATTCATTTTTATGTTCTGTAATATTTTTTAGGCTATACCAAGAAAGACCATCAACCTTCAATGGTAAGCTTAAAAGTAATACATTTGGGGTGACTAGATGGCTCAGAGGTATGGCAATGAGATACTGAGCCTTTCACAACTAGTTTGAATGTAGACTAGTTTGATGGTAGCAAGTAAAACTTACTGCTATATGGTAGGGATGTTTGGGTGTAAAGGTCTAACTGATAAGTGCATGCTTATTTATTAATGGTGTTAGTTACAGTCAGCAAAGCCTCCTTCCCCAGAGCCAGGTGGTCAAAGGCTGCTAGCTTCACCCCCAGAGAGAAGCCTGCTGCTCAAGTAACTGTAACATCCCTACTATATGGTAGCTATCCAGTGGTCTGTGTTAATGAATGAATGCTCTTAGTCCAGTTCCTGATTATCTACTGCCTCTGTAGTTGGTTTCTTTCCTGGCTAGCTTCTCTGACAGGCTAAGGATTTGAGTAGGCATGGAATAATAGAGCTGCCTTCTCCATCTCAAGTTGGAAGGACCATTGGGTGGTCAGACTGTATAAGGAAACTTGTTGTTCCACTGATCATGCTGCATATTTTGTGTGTCTGGATACCTGTGCAGCTTTTTGGTACTAAGTAGTGTGAAAATTTAATAAAACAAGATTTCAATCTCTTTCATAAATTATTTCCTCCTGCTTCCTCAAAAAAATGTTTTGTCTAGATTTCTTTTATTGCTGAAGGTCTAACACTTTTTTGTGTTCCCAGCTACATAAATGTTATAACATTAATAATTTTTTTTACAATGCCCATAATATTGAGGAGGCCATCTGAAAACAGAATGGCTGTTTTCTTTAGATAATGTAAAATAAGTGTGTGTGGTGGTCTTTCTAAAAGTAATCCTGATTTTGCAGCCTGCCCAAGTGGTTTGGTGTGTGGTGTTTGTTTTTTGGATACTAGGAGCAAATTGCCTCCTAAAACTATGATTACCCTGTTTTCCATAGGATAACCTCATATAAACTGGCCTTTTTTAAGCATCAGAATTGCTATCATTTTAGATGTCTGATTACTGGGTGGACTCATGCCTAGGTGCCCCAGTGTTTGGCTCGGGATGATTCCAAGAGAGAGAGACAGATTGTTTTGTAGGAGCTATAAGGGGTACGTAGGAATTGAGAGGCCCAATACAATTCTGGTCTGAAAATCAGGTGCCTGCTTCCTTCAAGACACATTCAACACATTGCAATGAGTTAAAGGGGGTTCTAAAAAGATGTGCAGTAGCTTTTTAAATTAAAGCATTTAAAAAAAATTTGTAACATACGGGCTTTTGGTAACTTTACACTCAGAAGTTTATGATTTGTTGTTAGTAGGACAGATTTCTAAAATAACTCTTGACACTTTCTTAAGTGCTAGGGGAAAAGGGTGTGGATTTGAGACTGTCAACATTAATCCTTTAAAATCTACTAAGTTTCCTGTTTGGCCATATTGCTCTGCCGTTGGTTAGTTTCCTACTGGATAAAATGCACAGATATTTGCAATGCCTCTTTCTAGAGCTATTCATTCTTGCTTTTTAAACTTGGTGCTGTTTGCTTCCTGGAACACTGAGAAGATTTGTGGAGAAAAGCCGTTGCTACTTCATTTAGTATTGTGACTTATTGTGTATCTCTTGCCACTCTGGAGACATTTTCTAGGACAGTGAGACTCCTGATGTGGCAGGAGATAACATGAAGAAAGTGCAATCATTGATGGATTTGAGTTTCATAATCATAGTTACTAATCTTTAACGTCTTTCATTTTTGTAGAATCACTACTTATTGTATGTCAATTAGAGTAATTTAACTATGGTGAGCCAAAAATAGACATGAAGGTGTGTGTGTGTGAAATAAACAGGAAGGGGTGGGTGGGTGGGAGGGTGTGTGTGTGTGTGTGTGTGTGTGTATATATATAAATATTTTTAAATATTTTACAGAAATCTGTGGAAGAGCCACTTAATGGTAGGTGGTAATCAAAATCTTAAGTTTTTACTTAAAGAATTATAAAAAGCCTTTTAGAGATGGCTCAGAATTTAGCTAATTACTTAGTTCTGTTGCTTGGGACAAGGGCTCTTTGAATCACTGAGAGTTTGAGGTATCACTGATAATGTGATACCTGCAACTATGGGCATAAGGGAGAATACTATGTGTACAGTATCTACAACTGCTAGACATTTTGCTGATTGCTTTAGAATAAAAGTAGCATCACAGCTGCAGCAATATTCCTATCTGCTTTATAAAAAGGCCGCCTATTAATAAGGAAAAAGGCAGGCTGTTGTTGAGCCAGTCATCTTTATGGGGTGCTGTGAGACAAGGGGCTTTCGTAGTGGGGTAAAGCAAAATCTCACTATTCAGTGGTCTTGGATTTGGATGGTGGTGGTGTAAAACAATATGGGAAGGAAACACTGGAAATACTTAGGCTACGTCTAGACTGACATGATTTTCTGGAAATGCTTTTAACGGAAAAGTTTTCCATTAAAAGCATTTTCGGAAAAGCGCGTCTAGATTGGCAGGACGCTTTTCCACAAAAGCACCTTCTAGATGCGCTTTTCCGCAAAAAAGCTCCGGTCGCCATTTTCGCAATCGGGGCTTTTTTGCAGAAAACAAAACTCTGCTGTCTACACTGGCCCTTTTGTGCAAAAGTTTTTCAGAAAAAGACTTTTGCCCGAACGGGAGCAGCATAGTATTTCTGCAAAAGCACTGACAATCTCATTTGAGATTGTCAGTGCTTTTGCAGAAATTCAAGCGGCCAGTGTAGACAGCTGGCAAGTTTTTTCCAAGTGGCCAGTGTAGACAGCTGGCAAGTTTTTCCACAAAAGCAGATGATTTTGCGGAAAAACTTGCCAGTCTAGACACAGCCTAAGTGTGGAGGTTGTTTATAGTGGAAGAAGGGTAGACCTAAATTTGTGGTCTTTAGACTATTCAAAATTCACTAGTTGGCATACTGGAAAGTAGTGATGTTTCAAAACTAATCAGAATGCTAATCATGTAACATTTCTAATTATTTTCTTGACTAATTACTAATCCTCTGCTTGGCTTTTAAAGACGCAAAAGGAGTGATGTTAGAATGATGGTAAGTCGAATGTTATGTGCCACTGTAGATTTTGATCGATTAACTAACATTTACTTTGGGATTTTAAAATTAAAAAATCATCCTGTACAGAGGATGCTGCTAATATGTGATACAGCATAGGATAGAGATTGCATGGAAAGTACAATCTTTTAAGTTACATTGCATTGCACTGTGATTGTTATAGCTGACCTGAAGGCAGATGTGTTTGTATTTTTTTTTTTTTACACTGCTTTATGATTTAGAGGACTGAAAGGTATGTGTGCTTTTCTAAGTGTTGGATTATTTCTGCTATTTTTTTATCTTGGAAATAGCAGAAATGTCAAGTCTTACCTTTGTTTAGCTGGAGGTCTCCTTTGTAACAATAAGAAATGAAAACTGGAACATCTCTTAACCCTTACCAAAAGAGCTGGAGGTATAGAATCATGAATAAAAAAAGACTGTTAAGTGGGTGAATTAAAGAGGTGTTAAGAAAAAAGAATACTGTTCACTAAAGTAGATATCACTTTGTAATGTCATAAGCTTCCGAATATGCTTATCTACAGAGTCTTCCAGTAAAAAGAGGATCGCCAACTGAATTTCTAATTAAAAAAACCAAGCAGACTTATTACTTTTTTCCCCCTGGTTGTGAGGTAAAGCGTGTATGTAGAGCTTTCAGTCTCCTTTATGAAATATAACAAATCAAAGACAGGACAAAATGTTCCATTATTTTCCTCTCCTTTGCTGATTATCTTTAAAGAAACATTGTCAAGTAGTTAAGGCCTAAGAATGTAAAATCCCAATTATTTAACTAGTTAAACCAGGCCGGTGGGGCTGGAGCAGCGCGCTGCCCCCAGCAGTTAAACATTAACATCCCTGTTAGGGCATAGCTTTTTAGACTTTTGTCCTTTAAAAATAAAAATGTTCAGAATATTTTTTTTAAGAATATACTAAGTGAAATGAATTTTAAGCATTCTCCTGATTAGTTGGAAACTCAATCACTTTTTAATACAGGCAGTCCCCGGGTTACGTACAAGATAGGGACTGTAGGTTTGTTCTTAAGTTGAATCTGTATGTAAGTCGGAACTGGTGTCCAGATTCAGACACTGCAGCGCCGCTCTGGGCACTACTGGACCAACCCGGCAGCACCCCAGCTGCTCTGCCCCAGGTCCTGATTCAGCCGCTGCTGGTCAGTTTCAGCTGTTCAGAACTGCTCCCTGCCACATGTGGGGCTGGCCAGCTCCCAGACTGCACAGTGCTGCTGCTTCCAGGAGCCATTGCCGGCCCCCTGCTGGGCTGCCAGCTCCCAACCACCTGCAGCAGGTCGTGGGTGGAGGATTGCTTACCAGGTATCTGCTAAGCACCACCCGTTCGGGTGGTAAGATGTTACATCCCTAGTTAGATATATAATTTATACATTATACCATGACCAAACAAGATTTTTTGCAGTAAAGGCCGGGACTCTCCTGACTCATTCAGGTTTAGCTGTACAACAGTTTCTCCAAACCAAGTATTTAAAAAGTACATACCATTATCTGCCTTGGCCCCCATTGCTTGCACGGAAGCCATGGTGTGAACAATGACACCCTTGGGGAATTCTGACCATGTTGATGGTTTGCCATCCACAGTAATGATATGTCGTAATAGTGGAACCTGAGAAACAATTTCCTGTGGAAATGGAGACTTGTGCTTCATTTTGCAAGAAAAGCTGGTGCAAAAGTTTATACCAAGAATGAAACAATGTATTTTTACAGCACACGTTAAAATATTACTGAGACCAGCAGACCACAGGCACCGGGACTGAAGAGGCAGCAGCGGCGGTTCCCTGCGCTTCTGAGGCTTTGCTCTGGCAAAGCCTCAGAAGCGCGGGAACCTGCCCGGTGCCCCTGGTCTGCTAGAGACGGTCTCCAGCAGACCAGGGGCACCGGAGCAGCTTACGAACGGGGCTTTCTCGCCCCGACCTCCGGGGCGAGAGAGCCCCGTTCGTAAGTGCGGATCCGACGTAAGTCGGGGACTGCCTGTAGTACATTGGATCCAGAAAATGACTGTGGACTATCCAAAGAGATGTGCAAGAAGTTAAAGCAAAAATTATTAAATGTCATTTTTAAATCTCTAGCAATTGTAATAATCATATATGTGATTAGTAGTACAAAGTGTGGCTTACAATATTGTGTATTAATTTGACTGTCACTTTAGATTGTTAAATTTTCACTTATAAACTGTTCTTGGTCTCGAATATGCAGATTATTCTTGCACTTAGAAATTATTTTATCTATAATAGGTTTTTGAGGGAATGCTATTGGTTAAATCTGCTTACCAAAAATCCTTTTGACCAATTTATAATGTGAGATACTATTTTTTAAATTAAGATTTAATGGCGCATTTAGTTTTCTGTTCACTGATGTATTTGATTGAAAAACTACCTTTGAAATGGTTACAATATTTAACTAAAATAGAGTGTGGTGACCTTATGTTTTGTCTGCTTTGACTGTTGTTGCTACAATTCTCCCAATACATTACTTGCACACTGGTATCTTAAGGACTACACTGTTAAATCTACCACTTTATCCAGTGTGGTCATGGCAGCAGTTTGAGAATGTTTGACAGCCATCAAACACTTAAGAAAGAAATGCACACCCTTACAATGTGAGCTTGCTTAAAGAATGACAAATTTGCTTTAATGGAGACAAGAGTGGGGTTTGGTTTTGTTTGGTTTTGTTTTATGAAGTGCACAGTTTAACAAAGAAAGTTTGAGCTAAGGCAGCCATCAAACATTTAAGAAAGAAATGCCCACCCCTACCAGAGAAGAATCTCTATAATTTAGTACGTACCCTGAAAATTGTGATAGCAAACCATGCATTTCATAGTGTGTCTGCACTGCTTGACTTTATCCGGTAGAGAATTCCCTTGATTTTGTGAGTTTGTCAGCCTTTTCAGTTATTGTTTTAATGGTCCATGTTCTAATCTTACATATAGACTACTACTTTTTCTTAATTCCTCCCCTAGTGTGTCATATTTCTTGATCTCAGGCACCAACCACGTAAGTCAGTGGTTGGCAGCCTGTGGCCCAGTGACCACGTGCGACCCATTGGCATCCCATGTGTGTCCTGTGCACACCCTTTCTGCCCCTTTCATCCACATCTCTTGTGCACTGTGGGCCCCACACTCTCATATAGACTACTACTTTTTCTTAATTCCTCCCCTAGTGTGTCATATTTCTTGATCTCAGGCACCAACCACGTAAGTCAGTGGTTGGCAGCCTGTGGCCCAGTGACCACGTGCGACCCATTGGCATCCCATGTGTGTCCTGTGCACACCCTTTCTGCCCCTTTCATCCACATCTCTTGTGCACTGTGGGCCCCACACTCTCCAGCACTTTTGGAGTGCCATAAATTAGCTGATTTGTGCCCTGTCCCTGCCCCTCCTTCTTCCTCCCAGAGCTTGAAAGGCACAGATTGTGGCATTCAAGCTCTAGGCGAGAAGGAGAGGGATGGGCCCCAAATCAGCCAATTCATGGCATCCCAGAAGTGCTGGGAGGGAAAGAAAGGTGCAGTGACAGGGTCACGCTTGGGAGAAGAGGCAGGGATTTGATTTTTGTCTAGTAAGTATACATATTTTTTTATTTGAAGTTGAAGACAGTTGTATTAATATATGTCTGATTAAAGCATTTCTACTTGTTAGCATGCCCTATATTAATGTATTTAATCTTATTCTTGGAGTCATGATTAGTTCACATGACTGATTCAGTATTGCAGACCACTCACTAGCCTTGGTTGACCATCGCTGACATAAGTACTAGGAGACACTATTCCTACTTTACTATTCCCCAGAGGCTGAGCATTGCACTTCAAGGAAACTCAAAGACCCTGAGTCTAATGAGAATTCTAAATTATTAGAGGGTTTTTCCCAACCATTTTTTCACTTGTGCAAAGCACACATGGAACTAGAGGCAGCTGGTAAGATTATTGGCTGACACTAATTTATTGATCATTTAATATTCCAGCTTGTTTGTAAATACAGTATACTGATGAATTTGTATAACTCATAAATTATATGATTCATTCAAGTACACATAAGGACTGCTTTTTCAGCCTCTATGAATGCATCTGCTCATACGACACAGTGAATAACTTTACCAGCATCCCTTACAGTAGTGGTCACCAGCCTTCTTAAGCACAAGATCACTTTTTTAAAAGAACTGCAATCCAGGAACTACTTCAAACCCTAATACTCTTGTGCCGCCTCCTTTATGCCCCTTCTCCGAGGCCCTGCCTCTGCTTACTCCATCCTTCCTCCCTCCTTTTCATCAGGCAGGGGCAGAGAGTTGGGGTGCAATCTCTGATCTTGGGTTAAGGGACTTGGAGTGTTAAGATGGGCTCTCAGCTGAGCCTGGGGTAGGGGTTGGGGTACAGGAGGGGGTTTATGACTGGGACAGGGGTACAGGCTCTATAAGGGAATTTGAGTCCAGGGGGCTCAGGGCTAGGGCAGGGACTTGAGGTGCAGGAGTGGGTTTATGACTGGGGCAAGCATTCAGAATGCAGGCTCCAGGTGGACACTGCTTACCTTAGGTGGCTCCTGGGTGGTAGTACAGTGGGGCAACGGTAGGCTCACCCCTGCCCTGGTGCTGCACCACTCTCAAAAGCAGTCAGCAAACTCCCTCCATCCCAAGCTCTGTTGTGCCCCCTCTATTCTGTGGTGATAGACTACAGGGTGGGAGAGGGAGCACCCTGACATCAGCACCCCCTCCTCTCCCTTCCCAGCAGGGGCAGGAGGTGCACAGCAGTGGGGGAAGAGGCAGTTGAAGTGTCAACATTTGATAGCCCTGGCCAAACCAGTCAGGATCACCTGTCATGCTCCAAGACCCACCAGTAGATCCAAATCTACTGGTTGGTGACCACTGCCTTACAGTGATAAAAGCAGTTAGTCATTTGGTATAACTGAAAAAAATACAGTGAGGGAAGGCTCTCACAGGAAGTATATGACTCCTATTTGAGAAATCAGGATTGTGTTTTCCCCCAGCAATGATCTAACATTGCAGGCCATTATACTGTGCATTCGGTGTGTCTACATTTTCTTTAAATGTCATAAGTCAAACAGCAAAATGGGGTCAGTGCAACAGCATTTTACTTCTGAAGGCAAAATCTAGGTTGATGCACAATTTTAAATAAATAGTTCAGTGTTTTTTCTGAATCCTATTTGTGCAAACCAGAATTCTTCATACTATCTAAAAATACTGGGTGCAGACTTATTTAAAAAAAAAGGGAAAAACAGGTCACTTAGGCACCTGCTGTTTTTGCCTTTAAAAATCGCCCGCTGAAGTAAAAGATTAAAACAGATCGTGCCAGAGCTGCGTAGAGAAATTATGCTGCAGTTGTACTATACCTTACTCAAGCCAATACTAGCCACCCTCAGTTTTATGAGTGTATTTATTTACACTTTTTAAAATTATGAAATTTGAATTTTGTGCTGCCGAACTAAGTGTAGGTGGATGTGGGTGAATGTAAATCAAAACATTTCTTGAATAATAGTTTTTGCTTTGTAATTTTCCAGGCTAACCTGTGAGAGTGACAGAATCTGCTACTGAGATGGTAATATGTGAAAAGAAATACATTTGTTTATACACCATGGCCTTTGATGATGCACTATTCAAAGAGAAGAAAATCAGGAACGTAGCTGTTTTGCATGTTTGGAAAAAATGATTTACATGTAATTCTATAATCACAGCGGCTGTAGTTCCATTCAAAAGAGAGATTTTTTTTTTTCCTGGTGTATGTGTATGGGGGGAGAGCAGAAGGCACTGTTTATCAACCACACAACTTCTTGATAAGGTCACCATTAGTGATACCTTTTCCAAAAACTATCAGTCAGTTTTGAAACTGGGCCAGGTCAGTGACCAAACGATACTAGTACTATGCTACTGGACCAATGCTTTGTGATAATTTAAACAAATCAGTATCGTATGAAATATGTCACCGTTTCTTTCCTGACTCACCCTCACATTTAAAAGATCTACTATGAAGTTTATATGACACAGGCTGTAATTACATTTAGATTATTGGGATTTTTTTGTGTGCATAGGCAAACGGTGTTCATGCCTCTATTGTATGTCTAGGAAGCGGCTGTTGTACAAATGTTACTTTTTCCACTTTGTATTATAGAAAACAGTGGCACTTACCACACTGAAACAAACTGCGTAAACAAAACCTTGACTTTTTTAATGAGTACCCAAGTTCCTTCCATTCTCACGTACTAAAATAATCTCCCTGTGTATATATAGTAGTTGTGTGATATTTTAATTGTTTTTTGTGACTCTCTTTGTAGTCTTTGAAATACTATTCAGCCCTGAGTTAATCAGCCCTACAGTTGTCGAGCACATCACCCATTCATTGATTTCATTGTTGAACATGGCTCTTAATATCCATATTTTACAGTCTATGGTACTGAAACCAGTCTCAGGCTTTCTCCTTTACAACCTAGAATTTCAGCTTGCTGAGAAATAATTTAAAAAAGCTGAGCATTTAAGAGTTAGCAGCATTTTAAATTTACTTTCTCATTTTGTCCCTTATTCCCAAGAATACATGCATAAAAACGTGAGCTATGTTAGCATCATGGGATCCTGCTACTTATGCCTTAATTGAAATTTGTCATCCTAGCTTTGTGATATTGTCATTAATTATGTCATAGACAGAAGACTCTTTCAGGCAGGGATAAGTAAATTGAGGTTCTGAACATATTCAAGTTTTACAGATAAAAAATGTATTAAAACCTAATTATAATCACTTCTACATGTGTAGTCTGTGAGGCCTTGCCTGCTCTTTTCATAGCTATACTTTGAGGGTTCCCCCACTGCAACTAGTAAGCAGCTTTCTGCTTTAACAGATTTTTGTTTAAAAACCCTTTTACATTTCCTGTTGTTGTGACTGTAGCAATCCAGGGCTATGCTACAGTTTGATACAGAGATCTTGTTTTACATAGAACTAACTTTAGAGTCTGATCCCAGAGCCTTTATTCACATAGGCCCTGTGAGAGGACTATACACTTCAGTTAACCCAAGCTACACTCTTACAGAAGTTAATGGGATATGCACATGTATAAGTGTTAAGTGTAAACTTGAATCTGCTTTGTATGGTCCTACTCAATATTGCCTTATTTCTTTAACGGTATATGGTTTTTGGAATGTGGTTTATCATTAGGGTATTTGTATGGATTTCAATTCTGTATGTCTTATTTAAGCCTTCTCTGTCATAGCAGCCATCAAAATAGTCCAGGTAAGATGTGAGAGACAGTATGGCTCATTAATAAGAGGCAATTCAGGGATTTCCATGATATTTTTGCATGGGGTGCCTCATTTGTACATATTTAGTTATTGATACTTTCTAGTAGTATACAGCAGCTCCAGGCAGTAACAAGCTTTGAAATTTCATTTTTCCTTACACTTAATATAGCTTTATAATTAACTCTCAGCAAATTGAAGTTTAGCAGCCACTCTTGTGCTGAAGACAAATCCTTTTAATAAAATACTACCAAAAAAATCAGTAGGATTGAATTCTGTACCATGGTACCATGTGCTTGTCTCTTAATCATACTGCTGTATGCAAAGGCTCTCCTTTTGGTTTCTCTTGGGCACCAATTAAAAAGTGTTAGTTAATTTTAAATTACTGGAGGGAAGATGACATTAAATGACTAATTCCAGTATATATAAAATAAGATTCTTGTTATTTGACATTTTAGATATCTGCAATCTTTACCCACGTGTGTTTATTTATGAAATATAACTTTATAAATATTGTGCTATTATACTTAATAAAACCACATTAAACTGTTTCTGTGAGTTTTTGTTTCTGATGCACTAAACTAGTCTTAATTTTTTTAAGCATAATTTCATGGAATTATGGCCTGCTTTTCCTATCATAGTGACTGTGTAAAGTAACACTGCTTAATCAAGCAAATCATTCTATTATCATCACAGACCTGTTCCTATTGAAATCTTCACAACTGAAAGTGTTTTTTATTTTAACCAAAACTAATGTCTGAGCAAATTCAAAATTAAGCTCTTTAAACTGTAAAAGTCTCAGGCCAACATGTGTAAGCAGTTTGATTATCTTGGAGCTACAGAGACTTTTGCTGTGGTGTATGTAATGGAATTCACAGTGTAAATTGTCTTGCCCTTTGTACTACTGGGAACTCAGTGGCAAACCTTTCAGAATCTGAAAACACCTAGTACTGAGAGGTCACAGCTATCATTGAAGTCATACGATGCTGCTTACAATACTGAAATTGCAAAGTGAGTGTAGTCACTTGAATAGAATTGGGCCTCTTTTTCACTGCCCTCCTTAAAGCCAAAGGTATGCAAGTATGAGCACTTCACTTTCTAAAACTTAACTTTTTTTTTTTAATTTAGAAAATAATTCCATAAGAACAGTTATTCAAGTACTAGTAATAGGCATTTGTATTACACCTTTCTCGTAATGATCCCAAAGATATAAAGATAAATCGCTATAAAGATAAATTAAATCTTGGAGTCTCTTCACTCACCACAGAACTATAGCCCAATGGTTTGGAAAGTACTTCTCATTTAACACACAGAGCAACTTAACACCAAGTCATCATGGAAGACTCTGGCTAATACTGTATACAGTAAACATTTTAGGTGGGTAAGTTGTAAGGGAAATGTTTCCAGGACAGAAAGCTCTTAGCTAAATCCTTAGGCTTTTTTATGAGGGCAGTCACTTCTGAGGACTCCAGTACTAGTTTCATTCAATTTTTAAACTTTTGCTGCCATTATTGAAGCATCTTTTCTCAAGCTTTCTCTTGATCCCCACTCTCATGCACACTGTTTCTTAATTACTTCAATCCAAACTGTCTATTTCCTGGTAACTTTTCTCCCTATGAACTGCCCCTTAAGCCCAGGCTACTAGCTGAGATAAACATTTGGTTTATGTTGGAGTGGCAGTTTTTATGTTGGAGAGGAAGGAAGGAAGGAAGGTCCATGGCTGAAGTGTTAAAGTGAATGACCTGGAAGAGGTGAGTTCAGTTACCCATTTGCTACGTGATTCCTGTGCTCTCTGGGTAATCTTTCTGATGAGATTCTTCATCGCCATGGTGGATTGCAGCAAGGGTTTCCTGTAAGCTATGTGCTCAGGTGACCACTCAGGAGAGATTCAACTAGCAATTAGCAGTAGTGCTCTAAGCTGTCTTAAAAGTTGATGCAAGGCTAGAGCTTTCATAGACTTCTTTTGAAGGAGGTTGAAACAGCTCAAGCAGCTGAGACCTAGTACTGTATTTGAATGGAGCTGTTATCCTCTGCCCCTTCTCCCATTCTTCCCACCAGTTCTCAAAGCTAGGAATAGTTAGTTGGGTATGGAGGGAATTAGTAGCTGCTGTAGTTACAACCAGATTTCAAAAGGCAACAGCATGACTGGGGAGAGATTCCACTCAGCCATCCTCATTTTTTAGTAAACATGGCCCATCAATAAGTGTTAGGTGACTAAACCCTGAAGAGGATCCGGACCAGAGAAACTTAGTTGCATTTGCAATTTTACCCAATACATTCATGTTTGTGGACAGAGCGACAGCCTCACTTTACTGAAGCATCTTTTTTCCCTGTATCTCCATACTGCTGTCTCCACTTCTCTGCTCTTTTTCTCATCCTTTACCATCTGCTGTTAGTCATCTTCATACAAATAAACTCATACCAAAGTTGTGTGAGCAGTATTCCCTGTAAGAGATGCAGTTGTGTGGCCACTAAAGAGAAATTAAAATGCCACCCAGCTGATTATAATAGTGCCCATAACTAGGTTTTTGTTTACTGTTGCACATCTTCACATGTCCTGGTGCATGTAAAAAAAAGTATTGTTCATATAGCTGGAAAAGATTAGAGAGAACATCACCTATGAGCATTTCTTTGACCCTTACCCTCTTTCCTTGTCTAATTGCCCAGTCTAGTTACTCTTCTCCCCAAGGCTGACTACTTCCTCTGCCCTAGGCTACCTAGACTCTGTGCTTCCCTGGTTTCTATACCATCTCTAATGCTCCCAGCAGGCTTTTGGAAATGTATTTTTTTTAATGGAGTGATAATTGGCAAAAATAGGAATAAACCGCTCAGCCTGTTTGCTGGGCTGCTAATGTAAGCTTGGCACAATGATGAAAGGCTGGTACTCTGCACCAAGGAATGAATAGCTTTTAATAACATTGAGTGACAGAAACTAACAGTAAGCAAATTATGATTAAAGAAATATTATGGGCCATCATTTCGCCCATCACAGCACTGAACAGATTAAAAATGGTCCTACCCTTAAGGCACTTTGTCTAAGCCCACTGGGGGCATTTGTGATGGAGTTAAATGTTATCACATGTGTATGAGATAATAGCTGCTGGATGTGCTCCAGGAGTAGTTGATGCAAGTGAGAAAGGATGAAAATTGCAAAAAAGAAAAATGTAGGTCAACAAGCTCGCTATATTGAGAGACATACAGTACACCTCACTGCTATTTTCTTCACATAGATGCTTTTCTAATCACACCTACTTGGGTCAAGACTAAATTCTGCTGTTGGGTCTGCCCCTCTACAGCCAGACTACAACTACACTGCAGGCTTTTTGCGCAAGAACACCTATTCGTGTGCAAAAACTTAGAGCGTCTACACTGCATGTGCATTCTTGTGCAAGTAATTTTACAGTACAGCGTTGGAAAACAGAGCTTCTTCTGGAAGAGTTATTCTCCCCACGTGGAATAAGCCCTCTTGCCCAAGAGCTCTTCTACAAGAAGGCAGTGTAGACAGGCAACATGAATTTCTTGTGCAAGAAGCCCTTCTGGCTAAAATGGCCATTAGAGCTTACTTGCGCAAGAGAGCGTCCACACTGCCATGGATGCTCTTGTGCAAAAGCACATGGCAATGTGGATGTGCTCGTGTGGAAGGCCTTTTCCACAAGAACTCTTGCGCAAAACAGTTCCTGCGCAAGAAGCCTGCAGTGTAGATGTAGTCCCAAAGTAAATCCATTGAAGCTTCTTAATGAAGTTATAAACTCTACAACAGAGTAATATCGGGATCTGGCCTCAAGAATATAGCAAAGAGAATACAGCAGCCACAGAATCTTACAGTGCTTTGTTGAAAAGTCCAAAAAGAGTCACAGGAACTAAAATTACCCAGAAATTACACATTCTTGGGCAAAGATGGATTTTCCATGTGTGTTTCAGACAGCTGTTAAGATGTGATGTAGTTCAGTGTTTTTCAACCTTTTTTTAATAACGTACCCTTTTAAAAAAAAATAAGTACCCTCAGTACCTACACTTTTCAGACACATTTTTTTCTACCATTGCAACACATATGTTTAAACAAACAACTTAATCGTAGCCAGGCAGGCGATGACATTTTTGGGTGTAAAAAGTACAAAAATAAGTGCTTTAAAACTTGAAACAAAAATGCAGTTTTCTCCAAATTTCAGTTGTTGACATACCCCCGCCCCTCCAGACTTCTCTCGAGTACCCCTGAGGGTACTCGTACCACTGGTTGCGAAACACTGATGTATTTCACCATTAATGGACTATGGGCCTGGTTCGCCACTTCTTCATTCCAGTTTTACACTGGTGTAACTCCATTTATTTCACTGAAGATACATTAGCATAAAACAATGGTAACTCAAGCCTTTAGTTCTTTTTCAAGTGATGTCCCCGTGGGTGCTCCACATTAGGTGCTGGGCTTTCCCTGGTGCTGCAGGACGGAGATGTGAAAAGCCGTAATCAGTCGGACCGCGCAAGCGCGGGGGGGAGGGGAGGGCGTCTCGCGCTGTTCGCGCTCTCCCACGCTGCGTGATCCAATCTAATCCAGTTCCTCTCAACCGCCTCAGGCTGCAGACAGAGCAAATCGTCTCTCCTTCTTGCTCAACCTTTGTGAGATAAGTTATTTTTCCTCAGTTTTCTACTCTTTTTATATTTCACGTTTGTTTAAAAAAAAAATTCTGTTATAGACTGTTTAATTCTTGTTTCTCCCCCCTCTCCCGATTGAACTTAGGAATCTTGTACAAAGTTTTAAAAAAAAGGGGAGGGATAGAAAAAGAAAAGAGAACAACATTGAAATAGAAAATCCTGGGCTCTCCCGGATTTAAGAAATGCTCCATGTGCATCCGCTGCCTTGGCGAGAGCCAGGTACCGCAAAAAAGTATACATTGCTCAAAACTTACAGCCAGGGCCCGCCATGGCCGCGAGATGAGGCTCTGTATTATACTCTTTGATAAGGCGCTCCAGCCGCCTGGCTCAGCCTCTCCGCCTCGGGCCGCTCAACAGACTAAAAAATAGAGTGCCTCTTCCCCCTATAGGGCTCCTTCTAAGAGGTCCAGGCCCTCCCCAAGTAGATCTCTGCCTTAGATCCAGAGGTAGTTCTGCTGTGAAGAGTCAGTCGGGCACTTCTGCTTTAACCACCCGTTCGCGCTCTAAACCATCTAAGACTTTGCCTGGTATTTCGCGCCATGTGGCGGGAACTTCTCCAATAGCGGAACCAGTGCTCTCGGCACTGAAGTCATCGGCGCCGTCTCTATTGACGGAACAGCAGGCACAGTCAGCACCATTATGGGCTACATCTACCTCCTCTTCAAGTCCCTCCCCAGAGGAACCTACAACTTCGGCACGGGAGCAAACAGCTCCTACCCCAGCGTGCGATTGCTCGGCGCCAGCACCGGCCTCACCAAGGGTACACTTGGCATCACCATCGGCACGCACTCACCATGACTCCGGTGCAATACATCATCGCTTGGCACTGACCTCGGTGGCGGAACAGAAAGCCCCAGCTAAAGCACGGGCAAAGACCCGCCATATTTGCAGTCCATCCTCA